TGTGTTGTATTGTATTTTGTATTGCGTGTTTCGTGTTGTGTTGTACCATGCGGGCATATTGTTAGGCGCATGATGTGTTTACTGCTTTCTCGAATTTTTAACTGTCGCCTTTTTTTAGTTTATTATTTATATCTGCCATTTCGGCAATAAATTAATTAAGTGCAAATTACACACACACACAGGTTCCATCACAAATTTATGAGAAGAAATATTTAAACGAATGAATGAAGGAAGGAAGGAAGGAACCAATGAAAGAAATAAGTTTATTTGTGATATATATTCATTTTATTCACATTTGTGTATATGTGTGCGTGTCTTGTATTAAAATTATTTGTGTTTGAAATCGCCCGTTAAGATTGTAGATATATTTCATAATAACTAGCTAAACTGTCTTCAATCGTCTAACAGAAACAAATAAATGCATGAAACAATGTAAAACGATTTGTATGTAGACGACAAATACACGCAGACACTTTTGTATGCAACAATTACAAAATACAAACTTTGTACATATGCTGCAACAAATTCAAACTTGTACGTATGTAACAATACGTGTATGCACGCAAAATATATTTGTATCATAACAGCACATCAACATGTTAAAACTGCAGAATGAACATCCTGTTTGCCATATCTACTGTTACGCTATTTTCCACGTTGTCGTTCGTTCTACACTGCTTCAATCGTTAATCGCGGTCGATGATGTTGAAATATTAACTAATAGTGGCAATCAATGTGCAATGTTTGAAATATGAGTTTTTCAGTTAGTATTTTGAAGTTTATTTTGCTAAAAAAATTTTTTGAAAAAAGTTTAAGAGCTTGAGCTTTTTTATTTTTTATAGTTCATTCTGCCAAAGTTTCGTTCTGCATCTGTTGTAGCTTTGTTTTTGTTTGTGTCTTACAGTTTTAACAATTTTCAGAAAAGAGAACTGCTAACGGAGAACGAAAAATAAATATGTGCATGTGCATGCTTCATAAACTTAAACACAAACTCAAACATGAATTTGGACATAAACTTGAAGTAATAATTTAAAAGTCTATAAGTTATCGCATCGACGTAGCTTAATGACATAAAATGTAATAAGCTGGTGGCATGAGGTTTCTGTAACACTACACTTATGTGATTGAATTTTTAGTAAAAAAAGTGCGTTGTTTTGTTTGCTAAATATATCATTAATTCATTTTCCAGTTCATACTCTGCTGAACAAAATCTTGAAATAACTCACAAACGAAGAAAGAAAGAAACGTGTTGGCGTGCGAACATGTCAACAATCATGTAGAAGAAGGAGCAATCTAATAAGTTAAGTGCATCGTTTTCTAAGTATACATGAATGTCAAAAATTTTGACGCGACTTTTAAAACAAATTTTACTGTCAAAAGACAAAAAAGTTGTCATGTTTACTGCATTGCAAGAATATTTCACTTGAAAGCGAGAAAATGAAATAACTGCATTCCATCCAATTTTAGATGATCGTCAAAATAGTTAACACGCGTCATTAAGTGCACGCATCGTTCTAGTCTAATTTTCCTAACTTAGCGTCAGACGCCAAATGGCTCACATTTTTTGGTACGACGTCTCAAGAGGTGACGGATTCTCTGAAAGGCGTGCATACTACGCACCGAAAAAGTTTCTTCGTTCGTTTGTTTTTTAATTTGTTCTGCTTAATTAGTTAATAGGAGATTGTTGAAGTGTGCGGCGTTCATTCGTGAATGTTGAGCTGGTTCAGCTGCTCGTTCTGATTTTGAGATAATGAAAAAGAAATCTACTTGAAACGGAAATATTTGCGTGAATGGCATGTCGCTGTCTCCAATGAATGGTATTGTTCACTTCTGAATATATATATAAATATAATATTCTTCTAATTTCGTTTGCATACCTTTTTTGGCTAAAACGCTTAATACGCTGTGGAAGGCATGCATTATTCGTGTGTGTACTGTTGTGCGTGTACAGGTTGTTGGCCTTATAATATTTATTCCATTCAAAACAACTCAGACAAGAAGGAAAGAATTTCAACATTATTTGTGTGCTGCAACTACATATGATCGGTTTTAGACCAAAATGAAAAACAGATAAAAACGAAACATTGATATATTGGCTTGCATATTTTGAAATGAAATCAAGTTGAACAATGAGATGTAGAAAGCATTTGTGTGCGTGTGCATGCGTGCGTGTCTGTCTGTCTGCGAATGAGGTGGGAGCTGATTTATGCGTGACATTAGCGAACGTGGAACAAAAATGAAAGGTCATAAACATGTCTGCATCGTCGTCGTCGTCATCACCATCGCCATTGTTTAGCTGATCAACCCCACCACACTACACATCGTCTGTGTTCCATATTTTTAATTAGTGAAAGCAGATGAGAGGAAGAGAACCAACTCAACCCGCCACGTTCACTCACTCTTAATGACATCTGACAATTTTGTAAAAAAGCTTTTCCGTTCTATCGTGCTTAAAATAAATAAAAATTTTGGTTTTGAACTCAAGAAACTTGACAATGATCTACGATCCGCCGTTAGAAAATAGAAAAATTATGTTGGGAGCTAACTAACGCGGAACATGCTGTGATTTCTATCAATAATTGCATTTCTGACAGTCTTAATCCAATGTGTGTGTATATATATATATATATATATATATATATATATATATATATATATATATATATATATTTACAATATTCTATAAATTCTACCGAATATTGTAAAAATTATGGTCTATTACCAATATATATATATATATATATATATATATATATATATATATATATATATATATATGTATATATATTAGAGACCGACCGAAACTGTTTTTTTTCTTTCGGCCGAAACCGAAACAAAGCCGAAATTGAAATTTCAGTTTCGGCCGAAACCGAAATAAGGCCGAATCTAAAAAATAGGTTTCGGCCGAAACCGAAAAAAACCGAAACTAAAAAAATATTTTCGGCCGAAACCGAAACCGAATATTGAAAATTTTAATAGAACATCATTTATATAACTTTTTCCGAAATTGTTGGTTGAATTGAAACATCTGAATGTTTTGAATGAGATTCATCTAATTTCGGTTTTTTGGCTTCCCTCAAAAAACTATTTTTTTCTTCAATATTTAAAAGAAACTTTGAAAACAGACCTTTGTGATACTTTTCAAGATGATTTTTCAAACCACAAACAGTCTGGTTCTTCGGCAGTGTACTTCCTAAAGAGTATAACTTGTCACATTCATTGCAACGTGCTTTGCTTTTGTCAGACTGGATCTTTGTAAAATACTTCCATATTGGATTTAACGACATTTCAACGACTTTTGTTTAATTATTCAAATTATTGTTTACTCGATTTCAGAATTAATTTAACAAAGAAGTTTAAAATTTTTTTTATAGACAATGAAATGTTATTCTTATTATACTTGTGCGTATATATATATATATATAATATATATAAATAAATAAATATATATATATGGTGAGAATTTATAAATTATATCTTGTGTGTGTGTGTGTATATAAATAGCGCTGAACCATGAAAAATTGAGTTGAGCTTAAGTCCATCTCTGCATAAATTATGTTGATGTGTTTATCAGGCATGGTCAAATTTCAATAAAGATAAACTTTGTAAATTTTAGAGCCATATATATATATATATATACATATATATATAGACCACCCAATACAATAAGGATTATATATACATTTATATGCACTTATATATATGAGTGTGATGATAAATGATGTAGTTTTATATAGTTATTTAAGAATATCAAACATTTTCAGCAATAATCCACTTGTAGTTTAGTTTTCCTTAGAAGACATTTATCACTTTCATGTAATTTACTCAAGTATTTTTGAAAAAAAAATATTTTCGGTTTTTTTCGGCAAATATGATTTAGTTTCGGCCGAAACCGAAAAACGGCCGAAACTGAAATATAACATTCGGCCGAAACCGAAAAACGGCCGAAACTGAAATATAACATTCGGCCGAAACCGAAAAACGGCCGAAACTGAAATATAACATTCGGCCGAAACCGAATCACGGCCGAAACTAGAAAAATTGGCAGTTTCGGCGCCGAAACCGAAACCGAAACCGAATTTCGGTCGGTCTCTAATATATATATATATAAAAGATAATTTTTTAATAAATCATGCAGTCATTGAAGTTCGGATGAATGAATAATTGAAACTGTTGCTAATTTGATGGCATGCGTGCCATTCGCGCATATCGAACAAAACTAACGCACGTTCTACACACGTCAAAAGAAACAACAGCATATATATTTATGTGTGTGCGTGTGTGTTATGTGTGTGTTATGTGTGTGCGCGCGTACACCTACACACATGTTACACCCGCGCACAGACGTGTACATATGCACAACAAATTCATAAAACAAACGATTGCGTAAACAAAAAAACGTACTTGTAAGTAAGAAGATACTCGTAAAGATAAACATAAATATACTCTTTCATTTTCTAACGCACATACACGTATTTGAATACATAGGTACACACACGCGCCGCACACACACGCAAACGTGCAAGCATATACGAACACGCAAACAAAAAACTGTTATCATTATTATTAAGATCATTTCCAATTGTCTGTCTTCATTCGGCTAATAAAACAAAGTCCATTCAGAAAAAAAAGAAAGCAAACAACGGGGTTGGATTAATAATAAATTGATCGGAACTGTATTAACAACAATAAATTGAATGCATGGAATCATAAAAATCTTTAAAAGTTTTGCTGGATACGTTTAGGAATTATATTTATTTAATGATACCATGATATGGTTACATAAATGTATTTATAAGCATCCTTATGTTATATATACAAATATATATCATTATATCATATCATCGTATAATTAGCTGTACTGTGCATAGTTTTTTGAGATTTGTATGCAACTCCATGGTAAAAACTGCAATTTTATTAGCGCGGAATAAATTTTTAAAAGCTGAATGTCAAAAAGAACATCTAATCTAAATTTTAGCTAATTTTGACGCAAAAAAATTTCACTGCAAAGAAAACTTTTGCCGAATGTTAAAATTTTCAATCAGATCTTCTTCAAAGTTGTCGCTAAGTAGAGCGCCTGAGAACATAAAGTTGTGAAGGTTGAACATTCGAGCACGGAGGTCACACGATGTTAATGAGAAATTTTCAAATGTAGTGAGCAGGTCTGTTTTTAAAGATTCCAAAATGTTGAACGCAGCTGGTGAATATCCGGTGAAAAATTAAATAAAATTTGCACTCCTACAAAACTAAATGATTGAGAAGGCCGTTCCATATGATATATTATTTATTCATCATAAAAATATAATGAAAATTTATCGTAAAAATGAAATGAATTGTAACGCAACATGGCTAAACCAACCTTTTGACAGCAATTTAACAACTATGCGTGGTGATGAACTTTTATATTTCAATGTTAACAAATGTTGCTGTTTGCAAAAGTGAGTAAAAATTTTAAAAAATAATCAACAAAATAAAATAAAAAAAGCTCAAAATGTTTTTGATGAAATTGGAATAAGCTGATCGCTCGGACTCATCACAACAACAACAACAACAACAACAACAACAACAACAACTTCATTATCATTATCATCATAAATATTAATCAGTTTTGTTCTGCTCGTTAACAAATATCTGCTCTCGTAGTATCAATTGCATTTCATTATCTTTTCTTCAACAATCCAACATCACCAGCAGTTACTAGCAGATGAAAGGATTGAGTGCAGTGAACGAATGATATGATTATGAGAAGATGAGTGAACGTCTCAAATGGCGATGATTTTTATGAGTAAATAAGAATTACATTTTAAAAATAAATGCATGGTTAAACGGAAAGGTTAAAAAATGCTGTAACTAATAAGTATCGCATGAAGACAGATCCACAGAAAAATATTCAAAACAATATAAAAACATGATGTCCATTATGAAGGTAATGGAAAACTTGCAAATATACAACAAAAATGTGTAAAAAAAATAAATACACAACTACATGAACAGAATGCTGGAAAAGAAAAACAAACAAGAAACATGCTGAAACGTGTATGCTTGTATCAACTCAAAAACAACATCAACAACGAATACTAGAACAAACACTAAAAACTTAAATGTAGTCATATAAACACATAAGCTCGTGTGCATACACGCGCCGCACACATATAGACACACACACACACACGCACACACACACACACACGCACACACACACACACACACACACGTACACAACACAACACAAACATTCACACATAGTATATATTAACAAAAGTTGGTAAATATTTGAAAAGATCTATAAATATATATATATATATATAGCTAATATTTATGAACAAATGCTGGATTGATGGATCCTTGTGATAGCATGAGGGATGACTTGGATCCGAATCCACTGCGGTAGGGAGTGTTATTGCCACTGAGGGCGGCGCTCCGGATGTTGGCCATCTTGTGGAAGTACTTCACCCTCCGCTCCTTCCCGTACAAATCGTCCAACAACTCCTGCCAGTACGATACGACGCAGATCAGGGCGGCTGCCTGTTTGTGGCGCGTGAAATGTGCATTTGGATATTTATGGATGGATGAATGTATGGATGGATGGATGGATGGGTGGGTGGGTGAGTGGATGGATGGATGGATGGATGGATGGATGGATGGATGGATGGATGGATAAATGGATGGATGGATAAATGGATGGATGGATAAATGGATGGATGGGTAGATGGGTGGATTGAAAAGTCTATCAAAAAATTAACGAGTAGACAAACCAACGGTTGCACTGATAGATGAATGAATGAAAGAAACGAAGAAATGAAATGAAGGAACAAAAAAGGAAAATGAAATGGATGACATGTATGTATTGATAACATAGATGAATGAACGAATGCAAGAATGGAAGACAGAAAAGATAGACTGAATGAAAAATTGAATGAATAATCAGATCGTTAAATGAATAGGCGGAATAAACAAAAAAATGAAAGAACAAAACCACAATAAAAACTAAACAAAACATTTCTTAACAAGACAAAAAGTAAAACAACCAAAAATAACAATACTAAAAACCGGTGAACCACCAATAAAAAACACCAACTTGAACAATAATAAGTTATCAAAACAACAACAAAAACAATAATAATAACGCATAATAACAACGAGAGAATGCCTGAAACGAACCAGAAGGAAAAAGTTAAGAATCCAATATATGGCAACTACGATACTCTCTGGAATAACATAAATCATTTCCTGTGGTGGCAGATGATGTTCATGACGAAGAAGATGATGACGAAGATGATGATGAAGATTATGATGAAGATGATAAAGATGATGATTACATAAATTATGAAAAAGTTACTTATGAAGATGATGATGATAAAGATGATGATGATGGTGGTGGTGATAAAAATGCTGCTGTTGATAACAATATAGGTGAAGAAGATGATGACGAAGACGATTGAAATGTCGTCAATGATGATGATGATGATGTTAATGATAGTGATAATAGAGATAATTATAATTATTATTATTATTTTTATTAACTAGAACAAAGAAACAAAAAACGAAAGCAAGTCTATTCATGCAGGCATAAAACGAAAGAAATGAAGACAAAAGTTGAGGTAGATTGTTAAGTGAAAAGAAATTTTAAAAAATGGTGTACTCCAGTGTGTGAGGCTGACTGGCAGAGCTTTTCGTGAGTTTGGGGCGAAATTGCAAGGAGGGCCAATTTATTAAAGGGCATTCTAATTATTTGAGGAGTTAAATAATTTGAGACTGTTAGAAGGGAGGCAAATTGTTGCATGTGAATAGTTCATGAAGACAAATACTGTTGAGCGCAAAACTCATTTTGCCTAATTTTTCCAATGTAGATACCCATTATAAACCGATTTTTCTTCTTAGCGGTCGTAATAAAATTTAAAAATTTAGTGTTGTTGTTGTCTTCATGAAAAGCTTAGCAGGATATTTTCACGAATATGCAAAATAAAACCAGCTGAAATGTCGGAAAAATTATGCGTTTTTTTCAAAATATTGGGCGGAAAAAACAGCCTCGCTCCATAAGTCGGCAACAATGAATTTCAAGTTTTGGCTGAATGTTTTATGATCCAATTTAATTTAAATTTGTAAAAATAATGTATATAAATGTTGAAAAATATAAATATATAAATGAAGTAAATAGAAATTATTGTAAAAAGATGTCAGTTACCCTGAACCTATGTCCCCCGGTCCATGACATGAGGTAAATTCCGATGAAAACGTCGTACGCACGGTCTGATATTATGCCCACCACCCATGCTAGTAAGTACTTTCGTCCGTCGTGTTGCTGGTATGTGTGTGTGTGTGTGCGTGTATGTGTGCGCGTGAATATGTATGTGTTTGTTTTAAATCTCTGAAACCATGCTTTATCAACATATCAACATATCGAAATGTTGTTGCTTCATGTGCGTGCATTACGCGTTCGTGTAAGTATGCATACGAACGTGTGCAAACGTATGTGGGTAAGTTGAGAGGTGAGATTGCAGTTTTCATTCTCATTATTATTTATTCTCTCATCCATTATTATCTTAACTATTATTTATAATAATCATTATTATCATTCAGTTGTCATTATCATCGTGATTTATTGATAACATTTTAATGTGATAACAAAACAAACAAACAAAACAAAAAATACAAACTATACAAACATAATTGATGCCAATGAGAAGCAGGATACCCAGTACAAAGAGTAACACTGTGAAGGCAAGTTCTATGTACATTATTGGAATAATGCCTGCGGGCATGTTTGTTGATGACGATGACGAATATGATGACGAAGATTTATGATGAAGATGATGACAAAGATGATGATGAAGACTACGATGAATATGGTGAGAAAGATGATGAGGAAGATGATGAAGAATATGATAAAGATGATGATGACGATGAAGGTGACGATAATATTGATGTCAGTGACTGCAATGATAAAATCTATGCAGGCTATTGGCAATGCAACAAAAGTGCAATCAAAGTTGTTGTAACTGCTTTTTATATTTTTACATTTAATCAAAAAACGTTATTTAAATTTCATCAGACAACACAATCATCACAAGTAACACGTACAGACATGAATAACACAGACAGATAAAAGCAGCTTAATAAGGTTACAAAGTAAACCATTCTAATTTCAACCATCATTTGTCAATATAAAATAAATATCCTCACAAGTGTAAGCATAATTTTGATCAAAGCAAATAATAATTATTTGTTAATATTAATATTAATTAATTATTTATTAATTTTAGTTATTTAATTATTAATTATAATTAAATTAATTATTAATAATTATATAATTAGATCACCATCATCATGATCTCACCAGGTGGCATGTAGAGATATTGTGTCTGTGGTTCTGCGTAACTCGTCATCTCGTGTAACCTCACTAATATTGTCACATCGATGATGAAGTTTATCAGGGATATTAACTGGTGATCATCATTTGATTTATTTCATCGTCATTCAATTATTAAAAATGAATAATTTTTTACAAATTTTGCAGGTATAAGCTCAAGAGTCCGAGTACTCCATGAATCTAATAACAAACTATCAGCTGAATTTGCAATATCAGCTCCACATTCCCAAAAATAATTGAATTATAGTGCATAATTCATAATGATAATAGATTTTTAGATAGTATTAATTATGATTACACAGTTACAATAAAATAAAAATTTAAAAACAAACAAATATCATTTTTGTTTATCACAAGAGTGAATTAAAATTTCTTAATTAATCCATCATCATAAAACTAACAAGCATCTCCATCACCATCATTGCCTCCATCAACACCTTCACAAATGATGAAAAAAAGAATTGAACCTACGTACCATGGTTAGGAAAGCACTCGCCTTACTACCCCTAGCAAGACTTTCAAAGCAGCAGCAGCCTGTTAAGATCGGCATCTTAATTCTTATTGTTTATTTTTATTCAATTGACATATCCCTGTTTGTATCTGCAAGCCTTTCAATTTTTTTATCAAACAAATCCACTTTCTGACTAACTTGTCAATATATTTTAAATTAATAAATTAAATAAAGGCTCTCCGATTTGTATTACAAATAGAAATACTTAAAAGATTTGTTTGTTACATCACCTGTGTAAAACAGGTAAACATACCTTTAGTAGTTACCAAAGAATAAGAAAGTAACTCAAGATAAAACTTATGTGAGAATGAAAATATTAAACTTTCCGTCATGAATTCATAGTTTTTGAATAACCCGGATTCTGGGTTGAGCGATATGTGGCGAACATGTTTATTCGTGCCGAATTAGAATAATTTTCTCTTTTGGTGGAAGAACTTTAATTTTCTAGTTTTTTTGTATTTTTTCTATAATCATCTAAAAGTTTAAGTTAATATAAATTGTTGAGTTTTGCTTCGTTACAACTCGACGGAAGGTGCCGGTGGGTCAGTCAAGCTGGCGCCACACAAGAAGAAGGAGAAGACGAGGGCTCTTTCACCGTCAACCATAATACCACTTCAGTTAGACGGACCAATGGTTTTCGTCATTGAACCACTATCCCTTGATAACAGCCATGACTTCAGAAAAATGTCAATTTTCAAAATTAGTAAATATTTCCAAAACAATATAGGCGAACTGAACTTCATTAAAATTCAACGGAACAGAATCTTAATTAAAATAAATGATGAAAGTCAACAAGACAAAATACTAAAAATTAATACAATTATAAATGAAAAAGTAAGGTGTTATCCTCATAAAGTTTTGAATACAAGTAAAGGAGTTATTAGGACTACAATTTTCAGATACTGTTCAGAGGAAGAAATGAAAGAGGAATTACAAAATCAGGGTGTAATAGATATTTTTAATATAAAAATAACTAAAAGTAATCAAAAAATAAATACTAACACCTTCATCCTAACATTCAACACTCCTCAACTTCCTTCAGAAATAAAAGTATGTTACCACTCAATAAAAATTGACAAATTTATTCCATTACCCACAAGATGCACTAAATGTCAGAAGTATGGTCATCACCATAAAATTTGCAGAAGTAAAGATCTGATTTGTTCAAGATGTGGAAATACAGGGCACAAACATACATGGGAAGCACCATGCCAAAATGAGCCAAATTGTTATCACTGTGGACATAAACATGAAACTTTCTCTAAAGAGTGTTCAAAATTTAAATTGGAAAAAGAAATACTCAAAAGAAAAACAGAAAATAATGTATCATATAGCCAAGCAAAAAGTCAGATATGTCAACAACAGAAACCCCTGTTATCTCAAATAATAAAAAAAAAGTAACAATGATTGATAAAGAAATTCAATGCAATCTTATAAATTGTTTACCAAATTCACCAAAAACTACAAAAAAAGAAAAACTTCTGATAATGATATATCTCAAGAAACAACAAAAAAATTAGAATTAGATCAGCAAATAAAATTCCCTTAAAAACTATAATAAAACAAGTAAAGAAAACAAAGATCCGTATATGTTTTCCAGCGATGAAAACACGAAAAGTGATGAATGCCTTAGCGAAGATACAGAGGAAGATTCTAACAAAAATGAAAAACGTTCCCAAAAATAAACATGGCTTATAATAAACAAACAAAAGAAATACCAGACACTAAAAGATTCATTAATAACTCCTAAACAAATAATCCTATTTAAGACATAATGATAGATAAAAATTCCCACACAATCAAAGTCCTTCAATGGAACATCAGAGGAATGAAAAACAGCTTACCAGAACTACAAATCCTAATTTCTAAACACAATCCACATATCATTTGTCTCCAAGAAACAAAAAACACTGAAGATAAACAAATAAAATTGAAAAACTACATGGGTTATCATAAAGCAGCTATCTCCACAAAAACAAATCCATCAGCTGGAACATCAATTTATATTCATTACAATATAACACAGTCTCTCGTTAATATAAAAATCGATAATCATTTCATAGCAGCAAGAATAACAATCTACAACAAATCAATAACAATATGCAATGGTTACATACAGCCAAATTCTTTGATTAAATCACAAAACTTAAAACAAATTATAAAACAGATTTCTAAACCATTCATATTCCTTGGAGATTTTAATGCTCACAATAAAATTCGGAACTGCCTAAACTCAAATTCTCAGGATAAGCAATTGGAAAAAACAATAATAGAAAATGATCTTTGCCTGATTAAGCCGACACAACCAACAAGATACCATGAAAACACAAACACTTCATCCACAATTGATCTAGCCATGACAACTCCAACTCTCTTTGAAGATATTGAATGGGATGCAGAACATGACTTACATGGCAGTGATCACTACCCAATAATTATATCCATCAGAAATAAACCCACAAATTCAGATTTGAAAAGACTTAACTACAACAAAACAGATTGGAGTAGTTTTACATTCATGATAGAGGAACAAATGAAAAATTTTGACACAATTGATGATGAGTCAAGGAACAGATGGATAGAAATCATATCAAAAGTCATAAAACAAACTACCCCAGTTATTCAAAATAAAAAAGGTAAAGTTTTAAATACTTGGTACAATGAGAAGCGCAAAGATGCAATCAAACAGAAGCAAAATGCATTTAAAAGTTTCAAAAATAATCCCAATCAAGACAACTTTATAAATTATAAAAAGATCAAAGCAGAGGCACGCAGAACAGTAAGAGAAGAAAATAAAAATCTTGAACTCATTTACCAATAATCTCAATTCCAACACATCTATAAATAAAGTTTGGGAAATGATCAGAAAATTAAAAAATAAAAATAATACTAATAAAAACAGCCACATTTCACTCAATGGTAAAGAGTATACAACTGACCAAGAAATATCAAACATCTTGGCTATCAATTTTCAACGAAATTCAAAAAATCTAAACAGTAATTTTGCAACGATCAAGTCAATAGAAGAAAGTAAAGCTTTAGATTTTAATTCAAATAATTTAGAACCATATAATACCTCAATAACTATGAAAGAAATGATGTATGAAATCAACAATAGCAAAGATTCCTCTCCAGGACCAGATCTAATAACTTACAAGATGCTCAAAAACTTACCACAAAATGCGCTGATGATACTTCTAAGAATTTATAACTATATTTGGCACAATACAAGTTTTCCAAATATATGGCGTCACGCAATAATAATTCCAATAAATAAACCAAACAAATCCAAACTTCAACCCGAAAATTACAGACCGATATCATTAATTTGTTGCACCTGCAAAATAATGGAAAAAATAATTAATACAAGACTAGATTGGTATCTCAAAATTAATAAAAATAATATCAAATTTAAAGATTTCACCCAGCAATATAAATATTTGGGAATCATAATCGATGATAAACTTAATTTCATTCCTTATATTCAAGCGGCAAAAAAAAATGTCTAAAAGCACTCAACCTGATCAAAGTTTTATCCCATCATACTTGGGGAGCAAATCAAATGCACTTGATGACAATTTACCAGACAACGATAAGATCAATAATAGACTACGCCAGCCCAGTTTATGGATCAACAGGGAAATCATATCTCAAAATTCTTCAACCAATAATCAACGAGTCATTAAGAAGAGTTTTGTGAGCATATAAAACATCTCCATCTAGCAGTCTACATGTTCTCTCAGGGGAAATGCCCATATCTTATAGACATCAAAAATTAGCATTGAATTACTATCTAAAACTGTGATCGCAACCAGAAAATCCAAATTATAAATATATCGATAAAATATGTCACATTAAATCCAAATCTATTCAAACTTTTCCAACAAGAATAAATAAATACATCAAAGAACATGAAAAAACAAAAATTGTTAAAGAGAATGATTATAAGATTCCTCCCTGGCTGTTGCTACATGCAGATATTGATACCAGTATAGCAAAAATAGAAAAAGACAAAAACTTAGCAAAAATGTTATTCAAAGAAAAAATTCAAGAGAATCCCAATTCAATTGAAATATATACTGATGGCTCAAAAAAAGGAATATCAACTACAGCAGCAACTACTGCATCTACAGACAACAAAAATGCATAAACAAAATCATGCAACATCTTCCAATCCATGCTTCAATCTTCACAGCAGAAATCATTGTCATTCAGATGGCAATAAAATTCATATTTAAATCCAATAGTAAAAATTTCATGATATTCTCAGATTCATTATCAATCTTCACAGCAGAAATCATTGCCATTCAGATGGCAATAAAATTCATATCTAAATCCAATAGTAAAAATTTCATGATATTCTCAGATTCATTATCAACAGTTACGGCGCTTAAACAATATAGACCTCAACACAACCTTATAATTCAAACGCAAAACAGGATACATGATAACTTAAATGATAACAATGGTAAGAAAATGACTCTGATATGGATACCCAGTCACATAGGAATTCAGGGTAATGAGGAAGTCGATCAACTGGCATCACAAGCTCACAATATTCCAATATCAAATCTTCCCATCCCACACAATGATTTAAGATTTTGGACAAAAAAGGTTTCAATGGAGAAATGGCAACTTGAATGGAACCAAACATCAAACTTTCTTAAATTATCCACACCATTTCTCAGCCAAAAAAATGAATTTAAAGGTTTAAAACGTAAACCTCAGACAATCATCAACAGATTAAAAATAGGCCATTCAAGTTTGACTCATTCCTGGATTCTCAACAAAACAAATTCGCCTACATACAACTCTTGTAACGAAAAACTAACCATCCATCACATTTTGGTCAAATGTAATAGTCACAATAATAGTAGGAAACGACATGACATCCCTTCAGAAGTAGAAAAAATTTTTTCCAGAGATAAAATCAATAATCTAATATCATTCCTTCATGAAATACAAATTTTTAATAGAATTTAAAAATAATTTCTCAAAAGTTTTAAAACAACAAAACGCATTTATAGAAAAGGAACAAGGGGCATAAAGATAGCCAGTTGTGCTGAAACGCCGTTAAACTGCACAAGCAAACAAACAATTCATAGTTTTCAACGTTATTTTAAAAAAGTTGCACTCAATTTAGAAAAAACGTTACATAGTATACATGAAACGAAGTAACTTAAGCCCAACCATTCAATGCCATATCGATACATCGTTTGGATTGAGTGAGCCATCGAAGCAACTACCTCGTTGCACAAATGAATTTTATTTATTTTTTTTTTTTTAAATTTTACGGCACTGCAGCTCCCAAGATGGTGCTATAATGTGCCAAAAATTGATGTATATTGATAATAATATTATTTTTGTTTATCATTACATTTTCTGTTTTATTTAAATTTGTCTTATTAGGGGAAATAATCTCATAATCATCACCGCCGACCGGGGACACCCCAATCAAACCACATCGAGCCACCATCTCGGAATCTGAGAAAAGTTGTTGATAGATGTGTATTCTAATAGGTTCGGTCATATTAATAATACTTTAAACCGATCCATTTGAGTTAGCGAGAAGTAGATATAAAATAAAAATAAAAAAAAAGCCAGCAGGGGAGGGGAAAGTTCACCAAATCTGCGCCAGCCCCGCCAACCAATGACCCCAACCCCAGCGCACTCACCTGAATTCAATGTAGTGCCTTTTTTTTTTTTTTAAATGAATTGGTGTCTGAGTCCGTACCATGACATTTTACCCATAGCTGACACTCGAGATAACTTTGAGAAATATGTTTATTTCCTGTTTATGGCATTTGAGTCTCCACCATGGTAATTAGCCACAGCAGATTCTCGACCTACCCCTGAGGAAAGAGCTTAAACCTCTTTATAGCATTGAGCCTCCACCATGGTATTTAGCCACAGCAGATTCTTTGAGGGAAGAGCTTAAACCCCTTTATAGCATTTGAGCATCCACCAAGGTGATTAGCCACAGCAGACTCTCAACATACCTTTTAGGGAAGCATATATTTTCTCCGTATCTCATTTGAGTTATCACCATGAGGTTTGTCCACGGCAGGATCCTGACACGCTATCAAGGATGGTTATTAATTTGTGTTTTTACATAAGCATGAGTAGATTATTATTCTTCTATATATTTATACAGGTGAGTACCGCAAAGCAAAGCCATTTATCAGCAAAAAAACTGAATTTTATTAGAAAAAATTGAACGCACATGATGCACTGGACATCAAAAAACAAAATTTTAAACAATTTTAATTTTCTTCAAAGAACAAAAACACAAATGTTTCACTAGAAAATTTCATCTGTCAACAGATCTTTTAGATCAATACTCTTAAATTAAATGATGGAAAGATGTTAACATTTATGCAGAAAGTGGCAGCACGCTATAAAATGCATAAGAAAAATTGAGAATGAAAAAAATAACAAGCAACTGTGCTAGAGATAATTACTATCAAATAAAGTATCTATAATTTAATTTTTATTACAACATATATGAAAGGATTGAAGTGGTCAAAAATTGAAAACAACACTCACATAACCACCACGATTAAACAACAAAAGCAACTATCTACATCTACATACTACATGAACAACACAAAAACGTAAAATCTATTTCATATTAATAAACTATTGAATGCTAAAACAGCTAAAATGATAAGAATGATTTTTTATAGCACCAGTTTACAGAGCCACTCCCAACGAAAATCCACCCAAAAAACCAGCCACAAAAGAAATATTTCGTTTGATGAATCGTTTTGCCTGTAAAATTATAAATCAAATAAATATCTTGAAAAATGAAAATAGATGAAAAATTATAGTGGCAAAATAAGAAATGTATGAGACACGCAGAAAATTGCTGACTTGTGCCTTCTTGCCTTCAAGTTCTTCAACCTTCTTCCTCGCTTTGTTGACCATTTTATCAGTAGCACTCCAATTTATTTTTATCCAACCTTGGTTATTAGCAACCTAAAAAATTTCATGATAAAAAACTTAAAAGAATTAAATTTAAAACTTGAAGTAAGCACAATGCACTAACAGCAATGAATAAAAGAGTCCCACCAATGGCAGCTGATGCTGGCTTACCAACTCTAGTGAGAACCAGTCCAGAACAGCTGAATTTAATGTTAAAATTATTCATTATGTGAATAAATGACAAGCTAATTATATGTTGTTAGGTAGAATAGAAAACCAACTCAGAAGCATGTTAACATCCTTTCCAGTTTATTAATACTTCAATTGTACATTACAACACTCAAGTCATAATTAATTTATTTTAAAATTAGCATTTGGCTTCATTCTGATAACTTCAAACAAAAAACTAATAAACAAAACCCTCTAAAAGACTAATTGCTAGCATATTGCCCACAAATTATTTTTATCCCTCTGCATCAACTGATAGTTCACTCTCTACTTGTTCTCTTAAACTTGACTATGTGTTTGCTGCTGAAATGTTTTATAATGAAAATTTTTGTAAGCATGTTGCTTTGTTGTAGCCATCATAGCTCATAAGCATAGACATAGAGAGATAGAAGTAATTAGTGAATGAGTTAGTTTAGTGGCGCTTTTGTAACTCTCTATTCTATTAGAGATAGTGATGTAAACAATCATAAATGTAAACAAATTTTAACATTTTAGTTCGGAATGTAAACTTTTGCCATTAGTTCTTTAGTAATTAAATTAAATTAGTTAATTAATAAATGCTCACTCAATTTGAAAATTTCAAATTAATAATCAATAATGTAATAATCCTAATTGGAATTAATGAAAAATGATTGCACAAGTAAACGAGTTAAAAAACTAACACTCCAATTGAAGCTCCAATAAGAATTTGTTTGGCAACTGATCCTTTGGTAATTTCATCTACAAAATCTTTAGCTTCATCAGAAACGGACGCCATCTTTTTTCTTTAATTTTATTTTTATATATCAGCTACAACGTACACTAAAAAACTTTGAAAACAAGTAACAAACTTAATTAAAAAATTATTTTATTTTGGAAAAAACTACTTGTCTTAAAGATACAAGTATAGTGAATATTACGAAAAAAATTATAGAAAATCAAAAAACACTTTCGACAAGAAGACGGCCGACGGTAAATTCAAGAAAAGTGTTCATACAATGATCAAGCACCATGGAAGGCCAATATAATTTATTGCTCAATAGAAATGAGTACAACTGCCCATTATAGCCAGGCCTGTCTAACACGACGATCACAAATCAGCTGGGATCTACGTGGACGTACACCCATTTTATTATATATATATAATTATAATTATATAATATTATTATATAATTATAATATATATATATTTATATAATTTATATATATATAATTATTTATATATTATATATATATTATTATTATATATATATTATATATTGCGTTTGACTGGTTCAGGTCGTATTTATCCGATCGGAGTCAGTTTGTTTCAGTTGATAATGTAGTGTCTCCTCCGTTTAAGATTCAAACAGGGGTGCCCCAAGGTTCGATACTCGGCCCCCTATTATTTATAATTTTTGTAAATGATATTTTTTCAATATCAGATAAATGTACTACAATCCTGTTCGCCGACGACACCAATATTTTTTTGTCGGGAAAAGACCCAAATGAATTGTTCCTAGAAATGAATCGTCAGCTCCAAAAATTCTGTGATTGGTTTTTGAAAAATAAATTGGCATTGAACTTAAGTAAATCATGTTATATTATATTTGGCCCTAAAATAAGTACTAATAACAAAATTCTAGAAAAAAATAAATTGTTCATTCAGGGCACTGTGCTCCCAAGAGTGCAATCGATAAAATTTTTGGGGGTTATACTTCAAAGTGATTTAAAATGGACCAATCACGTTAACAAAATAGTCAATAAATTGTATCAAGTTATTGGAATATTATTTAAAGCGAGAAACAGATTGGATACTGAAACAATGATGATGCTTTATTATTCTTTTCTATATCCCTATCTGCTGTATGGGAATGTTTTCT